TCATACAATTCACGATTCATTATTTTAGCAAAACGATTCACAATTCGATTCAAGATTTGACAATAATGCCTGAGATGAGAAAAATGAAAATTATTTGTTAATATTATTTAATTATTATTATTTTAGCTTTTAATTATTATTATTTTAGCTATTGATTTATTATTATTGTCAATGACAAAATTAAATTGAGTTAATGGCGGAATTCAACGTTGAAAAGGATAATTACAAGCACTTCATTGAGTTATTATTTTCATGTTTTTCTATTAATTGATTATTATTGTCAATCGCAGAATTGAATTCAATTAATGGCGGAATTCACAAAGGAGTTCAACGTTGAAAGGGATAGTGGAGCTTACAGGGACTTCATTGACGACTTGCACGTTGAATTGGGAGAGACCTTTTCACACAATATTCTCATACTTCCTGTTCAGCAGAATCCACCCACTCGATGGTTCAACATCATACGGCGAACCAATAATCATTGCATCAGTTTGAGGATTCGACGGGATAACCTATACTTTGATGCCTATCAATTGGAGAATTTTGCGGAATGGTTGGAGTTCGGGCGTACTTTTCCTACTTCTCCCTATCTAATTTTCGGATCCACTTTCTTGGGTTACGATGGCGGCTACAATGCCCTGGAATGTGTTTCCGGAAAAGGAATGAATAACATAGCCCTTGGCCCGACCGCACTCACTAATGCCGTAAATGATCTGGCTACCTCCACGATCTTCTATGCAGATCGCATGAGGTCACTGATCATCGTGATTCAAATTATCTGCGAATCGATTACATTCACTCGTATCTCCGACCTTCTCGCTGCCACATTTTGCAGCAGCAGTTCTTCGCCATCCCCTGATTGGATGCTAGCAGTAGTGCGTAACTGGGGAGACCTCTTTGCCGCATTGTTGCGAGCCGTTGCTGATCCTAATAATTCTTTTCGACTTCTGCAACCCAAAATATGAATATCGTGTCTGTTTTGGACATGGTTGTCGTACTTGGCATCTTGCTCAGGAGCGTCCGTGCATCATAATCATCAAACCCTAAACCCCAAACCCTAAACCCTAAACCCTAAACCCTAAACCCTAAGGGTTTAGGATTTAGGGTTTAGGGGGTTAGGGGTTTAGGGGTTAAGGGTTAGGGGTTTGGAGGTTTAGTTTAATGTTTTAGGTGTTTAAGGGTTTAGTTTAGGGTTTTAGGGGTTTAGCGTTTGGGGTTTGAGGATTCGGGGTTTAGGGCTTTGGGTGTTGAGGATTGAGGTTTAGGTGTTCAGTTTAGGGTTAGGGGTTGGGGGTTTGGGGTTAGCGGTTGGAGGGTTGGGTATTGGGGGTTGGGATTTGGGGTTTAGGATTTAGGGTTGAGGTTCTAGGGTCTAGGGTTGAGGGTCTAGGGACGTGGGCTGAGGTTTAGGGTTTGGGGTTTTGGCTTTACGGTTTAGGGTTTGGATTTGGATTTGGGGATAGGGATTACGGGTTAGCGTATAGGGTTAGGCGTTAGGAGCTTAGGGGTTAGGGTAGGGTTTATGGTTTAGGGTTTGGGGTTTGGGGTTAGGTGTTGGGGTTTAGGGGTTTCGAGATTTCGGGGTTCGGGGTTTAGCTTTTAGGGTTTGGGGGTTTAGGGTTTGGGATTTGGGGTTTTAGGATTTTTGGGTTTTTGGTTTTTTGGATTTTGGATTTTGGATTTTGGGTTTAGGGTTTTTTCGGGTTTAGGGTTTAGGATTTAGGATTTAGGGTTAGGGGTTAGGGGTTGGGGGTTTAGAGGTTACGGTTTTAGGGGTTAGGGTTTAGAGTTTAGGGTTTAGGGTTTAGGGATTAAAGTTTAGGGGTTAGGGTTTAGAATTTGGGGTTTGGGTTTAGGGGTTAGGATTTTAGGCTTTTAGGGGTTTGGCTTTCGAGTTTCGGGTTTGGGCTTGGGTTTGGGTTTGGGTTTGGGGTTTAGGTTTTGTGGTTTTAGAGGTTTTAGGGTTTTGGGGTTTTGGGGTTTCAGGCTTTCGATTTTGGGTTTGGGGTTTAGAGGGTTTTCAGGGGTTCAATGTTTTAGGAGGGTTTTAAGGTCTAGGAACTATTAGTGTTTAGAGTCTAAGGTCTATTAGGGTTTGCGGTTTGCGGTTGGAGATTAGGGTTTTGGGGTCTAGGGTCTGGGGTCTATTAGGGTTTAGGGTCTAGGGTCTATTAGTATTTAAGGTTTAAGATTTAAGGCCTATTAGGGTTTAAGGTCTAGGGTTTAGGGTCTAGGGTTGGGGGTCAACGGTTTTGGGTCCAGGGCTTACGATTTATGGTTTAGTGATTAGGGTTTAGGCTTAGGGGCTAGGAGTTAGGGTTTGGCGGTTGGGGTTCCGGTTAGGGGTTTAGGTGTTAGGGGTGTTAGGGTTTTAGAGTTTAGGGGTTAGGGCTAGGGTTTTAGGGGTTAGGGGTTAGGGTTTTGGAGTTAGGGGTTTGGTATTTGGGATTTAGGGTTTCAAAACCCTTAAACCTAAAACCCAAACACCAAATCCCAAAACCCTAAACACCAAACCATAAATCCTAAACCCTAAACCTCCTAAAACCATAAACACTAAATCCTAACCCCTTAATAACCCTAAACCCCCTAAAAATCCAAAACCCAAAACCCTAACCCTCAACCCCTAACCTCTAAACCCTAATCGCTAAACCCTAAACCCAAACCTTGACTCTGACCCCCACCTCGAAGCCTGAACCCAAACCTGAACCCGAAACCCCGAACCCTAACCCCAAACCCGAATCTAATGAATCGTATGATTCACTTTATTTGCGCCCAATTCACGATTCGATTCAAGATTTGACAATAATGCCTGAGATGAGAAAAATGAGAATTATTTTTTAATATTATTTAATTATTATTATTTTAGTTTTTAATTATTATTATTATTTTAGCTATTGATTTATTATTATTATCAATGACAAAATTCAATTGAGTTAATGGAAGAATTCAACATTGAAAAGGATAATTACAAGCACTCCATTGAGTTATTATTTTTATGTTTTTCTATTGATTGATTATTATTGTCAATGACAGAATTGAATTCAGACAATGCCATAATTCACAAAGGAGTTCGACGTTGAAAGGGGTAGTGGAGCTTACACGGACTGCATTGATGACTTGCATGTTGAATTGGGAGAGAACTTTTCACACAATATTCCCGTACTTCCCGCTCAGCAGAATCCACCCACTCGATGGTTCAACATTATACTCCGAACCATCAATCATTGGATCAGGCTGAGGATTTAACGGGACAACCTCTACTTGGACACCTACCAATTGGATAATTCTAAGGAATGGTTGGAGTTCGGGCGTACGTCTCCTGCTTTTCCACATCTAATTCCCGGATCCACTTTCTTGGGTTACGATGGCAGGTGCAATGCCCTAGAACGTGTTTCCAGATAAAGTATGAATAACATAACCCTTGGCCCGACTGCACTCACTAATGACGTAAATGATCTGGCTACCTCCACGATCTCCTACGCAAATCGCATGAGGTCACTGATCATCGTGATTCAAATGATCTGCGAATCGATTGCATTCACTTGTATCTCCGACCTTCTCGCTGCCACATTCAACTGCAGCAATTCTTCGCCACCCCCTGATTGGATGCTGGCACTAGTGCGTGGCTAGGGAGACCTCTTTACCATATTTCTGCGAGTCGATGCTGATCCCAATAATTTTTTTCGACTTTCGCAACCCAATGATATGAATGTCGTGTCCACTTTGGACGCAGTTGCGTACTTGGCATCTTGCTCAGGAGCATCCGTGCATCATCATCATCAAACCCTAAACCCCGAATCCTAAATCCTAAACCCTAAGGGTTTAGGGTTTAGGGTTAAGGGTTTAGGGGTTAGGGTTTGGGGTTTTAGGGTTAGGGGTTTAGGGGTTTGGTTGTTGGGGTTTAGGGTTTGGGGTTTAGGTGTTCGGTTTAGGGTTTGGGGTTGGGGGTTAGGGGGTTGGGTGTTGCGGGTTAGGTTTTGGGGTTTAGGATTTAAGATTGAGGGTCTAGGGTCTAGGGTTGAGGGTCTAAGGTCGGGGGTTGGGGTTTAGGGTTTGGCGGTTGGGATTAGGGGTTTGAAGGTTTGGGATTAGAAGGTTAGCGGGTTAGGGTTTAGGGGATTAGGGTAGGGTTTATGGTTTAGGGTTTGGGGTTTGGAGTTTGGGGTTATGTTTTGGGGTTTGGGGTTTAGGATTTAGGGTTTAGGGTTTAGCGGTTAGGGTTCGGGGTTTTCGGGTTTCGGGGTTTCAGGGTTCATGGTTTAGCTTTAAGGGTTTGGGGGTTTAGGGTTTGGGATTTGGGGTTTTGGGTTTTGGGTTTAGTGTTTAGGATTTTTTAGGATTCAAGGTTTAGGATTTGGGGTTAGGGGTTACGGGTTAGGGTGTAGGGTTTAGGGTTAAGGGTTAGGGGTTAGGGGTTAGGGGTTGGGGGTTAGGGGTTAAGGTAGGGTTTATGGTTTAGGGTTTAGGGATTGGGGTTAGGTGTTAGGGTTTGGGGTTTGCGGTTTAAGGGTTAGGGGTTTGGGTTTTGCAGTTAGGGGTTTTGGGTTTGGGGTTTTAGGATTTTGGGTTTTCAGTGTTCGGGGTTTAGCTTTTAGGGATTGGGGGTTTGGGTTTAGGATTCGAAATTTGGGTTTGGGGTTTAGGATTTTTGGGTTTTTAAGTTTTTGGGTTTTGGGATAAGGGTTGTTTAGGGCTTAGGATTTAGGATTAGGGGTTAGGGGTTAGGGTTTAGGCTTTTGGGTTAAGGGTTTTTTAGGGCTTAGGGTTTAGGGGTTAGGGTTTAGGGTTTAAGGTTTAGGATTTAGGGATTAGAGTTTAGTTGTTTGGGTTTGGGGTTTGGGATTTAGGGTTTTAGGGGTTAAGGGTTAGGGTTTTAGGGTTTTAGGGGTTTGGGTTTCGGGTTTTGAGTTTCGGGTTTGGTTTGGGTTTGGGTTTGGGATAGGGGTTTGGGGTTTGAGGTTTAGGTCTTGAGGTTTTAGGGGTTTTAGGGGTTTTAGGGTTTATGGTTTTGGGGTTTTGGGCTTTGGGTTTTGGGTTTTGCGTTTGGGGTTTAGATGGTTTTTAGGCGGTTCACTGTTTAGGGTTTGTGATTTGGGGTTGGGCTTGGGCTTGGGGTTAGGGTTGGGGTTTGGGGGTTGCGATCTGGGTCCTGGGGTTTGGGGCCTATTAGGGTCTCGGGTATATTAGAGTTTAGGGTTTATGAACTATTAGGGTTTAAGGTCTAGGGTCTATTAGGATTTATGGTTTAGGATTTAAAGTCTATTAGGGTTTGAGGTCTAAGGTCTAGGGTCGGGGGTTGAGGGTCTAGGGTCTATGGTCGGGGGTCAAGGGTTTTGGGTCCAGGGTTTAAGGTGTAGGGTTTAGGGGTTAGGGATTAGGCTTAAGGGTTAGGAGTTAGGGGTTGGGGGTTGGAGTTGGAGTTAGGGGTTTACGGGTTAGGGGTTAGGAGTTAGGGTTTAGGGGTTAGGGTTTGGGGCAGAACCCTTAAACCCGAAAGCCAAAACCCAAAACCCAAACCCCAATCCCCAAAATCCCAAACCATAAACCCTAAACTCCAAACCCCAAATCCAAACACCAAACCCTAAATTCTTATCCTAAAATCTCCTAAAAACCCAAAACCCCTAAAAACTCTAAACCCTAAATCCTAACCCGTTAAGAACCCTAAACCCTATAAAAACAAAAAAAACCAAAACCCTAAACCTTCAACCCTCAACCCAAAACCCAACCCCTTAAAAACCCTAAACCCTAACCCCCTAAGAACCCTAAACCCCCTAAAAACCCAAAACCCTCAACCCTCAACCCTAACCCTAAACCCTACACCCTAAACACCAAACCCGAAACCCCAACCCCCGACCCCGACCACAAAAACCCGAACCCAAACCCGAAACCCCCAACCCCAAACCCAACCCCGAACCTAAACCCTAGCCCTAAACCCTAATCCCCAACCCCTAACCTTGAAATCCTAACCCCTAACCCCAAACCCTAAATCCTAAACCCTAAACCCGAAAACGCCAAATCCTAAACTCCTAAAACCCCAATCCTAAACCATAAACCCTAAACCCCGAAACCTAAACCCTAAACCCCAAAACCCCAAAACCCCAAACCCTACACCATACTCTAACCCTCTAAACTCAGCCCTAAACCCTAACCACAAACCCCAACCCCAAACCCACAACCCCTAAATCTTAAACCCTGACCCTCAACCCTAGACCCTCAACCCTAAACCCAAACCCCAACACCCAAACTCCTAAACCTCAAACCCCAAACCCCTAAAACCCTAAACCCCAAACCCAAACTCCTAACCCCTTAACCCTAAAATCTAAACTCTAAACCTTTAGGGTTTAGGGTTTAAGGTTTGAGGATTATGATGCGTGGATGCTCCTAAGCAAGATGCCAAGTATGGCAACCGCGTCAGAGCGGATATGATATTCATATCATTGGGTTGCAGAAGTCAGAGAAAATTATTAGGATTAGTATCAACTTGCAGGAATACAGCAGAGAGGTCTCCCTTGCCACGCACTAGTGTCAACATCCAATCAGGGGTGGCGAAGAACTGCTGTTGCTGAATATGGTAGCGAAAAGATCGGAGATACAAGTGAATCTAATCGATTCGTAGATCATTTGAATCATGATGATCAGTGACCTCGCACGATCTGCGAAGGAGATCGTGGAGGTAGCCAGATCATTTACGGCATTAGCGAGTGTGGTCGGGCCAAGGGCTATGTTATTCATTCCTTGTCCGGAAACACATTCTAGGGCATTGTAGCCGCCATCGTAACCTAAGAAAGTTGATCTGGGAATTAGATGTGGAGAAGTAGGAGATGTACGCTGGAACTCTAATCACTCCTCAGGAACTCCATTTGGTAGGCGTCCAAGTAGGGGATGTCTCGTCGAATCCTCAGCCTGATCCAATGACTGTTGGTTCGCAGTATGATGTTGAACCATCGAGTGGGTGGATTCTACAGAATGGGAAGTACATGAATATTTTATGAAAAGGTCTCTCCCAATTCAACATGCAAGTCCTCAATGAAATCCCTGTACGCTCCACTACCCCTTTCAATGTTGAACTCCTTTATGAATTCTGCCAGCAACTAAATTCAATTCTGCTATTGACATTAATAATCAATCAATATAAAAACATAAAAATAATAACTCAATGGAGTGCTTGTAGTTATCCTTTTCAACGTTGAATTCCGCCATTAACTCAATTGAATTCTGCCGTTGACAATAATAATAAATCAATAGCTAAAACAATAATAATTAAATACTATTAATAAATAATTTTCATTTTTCTCATCTCAGGCATTATTGTCAAATCTTGAATCGAATCGTGAATCGTTCTTCTAAAATAACGTATAGTGAATCATATGATTCACTTTATTTAACACTAGCGGTCGGGCGCAAATAAAGTGAATCATACGACTCACGATTCATTATGTTAGCAAAACAATTCATGATTCGATTCAAGATTTGACAATAATGCCTAAGATGAGAAAAATGAAAATTATTTATTAATATTATTTAATTATTATTAATTTAGTTTTTAATTATTATTATTTTAGCTATTGATTTATTATTATTGTCAATGGTAGAATTCAGTTAAGTTAATGGTTGAATTCAACGTTGAAAAGGATAATTACAAGCACTTCATCGAGTTATTATTTTTATGTTTCTCTATTGATTGATTATTATTGTCAATGGCAGAATTGAATTCAGTTAATGGCGGAATGCGCCAAGGAGTTCAACGTTGAAAGAGGTAGTGGAGCTTACAGGGACTTCATTGAGGACTTGCGCGTTAAATTGGGAGAGACCTTCTCACACAATATTTATGTACTTCTCGCTCAACAAAATCCACCCACTCAATGGTTCAACATCATAGTGCGAACGAACAATCACTGGATTAGGTTGAGGATTTGATGGGACAACCTCTACTTGGACGCGTACTAATTGGAGAATTCTAAGAAATGGTTGGAGTTTGGGTGTACTTCTCCTACTTCTCCACATCTAATTCCCAAACTTTCTTAGGTTACGATGGCGACTACAATGCCCTGGAACGTATTTCTAGGCAAGGTATGAATAACAAAGCCCTTGGTCCGACTGCACTCATTAATGCCGTAAATGATCTGGCTTACCTCCACAATCTCCTACGCAAATCGCATGAGGTCACTGATCATCGTGATTCAAACGATCTGGGAATCGATTACATTCACTCGTATCTCCGACTTTCTCGCTGCCATATTCAGCAGTAACAATTCTTCGCCACCCCCAGATTGGATGTTGGCTCTAGTGCGTGGATGGGGAGACCTCTTTGCTGCATTGCTGCGAGCCGATGCTAATCCTAATAATTTCTTCCAACTTTCGCAACCCAATGATATTAATATTGTGTCCGCTCTGGATGCGGTTGTCGTACTTGACATCTTGCTCAAGAGTGTCTGCGCATCATCATCATCAAACCCTAAACCCTAAACCCTAGACCCTAAGGGTTTAGGGTTTAGTGTTTTTAGGGTTTGGAGGTTAAAGGGTTAGGGGTTTAGGGGTTAGGGGTTGGGGGTTGGGGTTTGGGGGTTTGGGGGTTTGGGGTTGGGGGAGTTTAGTTTAAGGGTTTAGTTTAGGGTTTTAGGGGTTTGGGGTTTGAGGGTTAGGGGTTTGGGTTTTGGGGTTTTGGGATTTAGGTGTTCGGTTTAGGGATGGAGGTTAGGGGTTGGGGGATTGGGTGTTGGGGGTTAGGGTTTGAGGTTTAGGGTTTAGAGTTAAGGGTCTAAGGTTGAGGGTCTAAGGTTGAGGGTTTGAGTTTAGGGTTTCGGAGTTTGGGGGTTGGGGTTGGGAGTTTGAAGGTTTGGGGTTAGGGGGTTAGGGTTTAGGGTTTAGGGTTTGGAGTTTGGTGTTTAGGCTTTGGGGTTAGGTTTTGGAGTTGGGGGTTTAAGGTTTAGGGTTTAGGGTTTGGGGTTTTTGACTTTCGAGATTTCGGGGTTCGGGATTCGAGATTTAGCTTTTAGGGTTTGGGGTTTAGGGTTTAAGGTTTGGGGTTCGGGGTTTGGGGTTTTGGGTTTGGGTTTGGGTTTTGGGGTTTTGGGGTTTTTGGGTTTTGGGTTTTGTGTTTAGGGTTTGTTAGGATTTAGGATTTAGGATTTGGGGTTTGGGGTTAGGGTGTAGGGTATAGGGTTAAGGGTTGGGGGTTATGGGTTTAGGAGTTAGGGGTTAGGGTATGGTTTTGGGTTTGGGTTTTAGGTTTGGGGTTTAGAGGTTTTTAGGGGGTTTAGAGGGATTTTAGAGGGATGTGGGTTTATAAGGCATGGGTTTGGAACTTGGGATAGGCCCTAAGGGGCACCCAAGTTTTGTAGAAAGGGAGGTTATGGACAAAAGGGGCTAGACCCATTGGACCCAAAAATCACCACGCGTGAGCCGCCGCTGTCCGTCCGGGCGGCTGGGGCTGGGGCTGGGCTTGGGGCTTGGGGTTTGGGGTTTTGGGTCTAGGATCTGGTTTAGGGTCTAGGGTCTATTAGGGTTTAGGGTCTAGGGTCTATTAGGATTTAAGGTTTAGGATTTAAGGTCTATTAAGGTTTAGGGTCAAAAGTCTAGGGTCTAGGGTCGGGGGTCGGGGGTCAAGGTTCAAGGGTTTTGGGTTGGGGGTTTAGGGTTTAGGAGTTAGGATTTAGGGTTAGGGATTAGGAGTTAGTGGTTGGGGGTTAGGGGTTAGGGTTTTAAGGTTTAGGATTTAGGGTTTAGGGCTTTAGGGGTTAGCCGTTAGGGTTTAGGGGTTAGAGTTTAGGGATTAAGGTTTGGGGTTTGGTGTTTAGGGTTTCAAAACCCTTAAACCCGAAATCTAAAACCCCAAACCATAAACCATAAACCCCACACCCCAAACCCCCAAACCCCAAACCTCGAACCCCGAATCCCAAACCTTAATCCCAAATCCCAAACCCCAAAACCCCCAAACCTCAACCCAAACGCCAAACCCAAAACCCCTAAACCTCGAACCCTAAAACACCTACCCCTAAACCCTAAACAACCCCAAACCCTAAATCCCAAACCCCAAATCCCAAACCCCAAACCCTAAATCCCAAACCGCCTAAACCCTAAACCCTAACACATAAACCGTAATAAACCCTAAACCCTAAATCCCAACCTCTAAACTCCTAAACTCCTAAACCCCCAACTCCCAACCTTAAAATCCTAAACCCTAAACCTTAAAACCTAAACTCATCCTTCATATTTGAGATCGTATATAGCCTTGGATATTTAAAGTTTAGTGACCAATTCCCAAGTCAATATATGCCCATTTCCCATTATTAAAACAGATTATTATTCCTTACAATATCTTTGACATTGAATTCCTTGCATTCTAATTCCATTATACTCTTCCAAACACCTGAATTTTTTCCATTTTCAAAAGAAAAAAGCTAGAGAGAGAGAGAATATATATATATATATTTCATGTAAAACATTACAATTTTTGTAGCATTATATATAGAATTTTTTACTTAAAACTCATAGACACAAAAGCCTAACAACCCCCAATCATGGATACAAGATGAGGAAACAAATGAAAAAACACCCAAGCAGTCATGAATAGACAAGTTCAATCATCAATGGTCATCAATAGACAAGTTCCAACTCTAATTCAAATTGATAAAATAACAAACATCTGGTGTGCAAAACACACAAATTGAATCCAAGGAGCTAAAACTATTTTTAAAATGAACAAATAGATGAAAACTAGATAAGTTAAATGAATAAAAACACATAAAAATTTTCGAACAAAAAAGGAATTCCAACATATGAGGCAAACAAAATCAATCTATATGATCCAAATCGATGCTTTCTACCTTTAACATAGAGTCCATTTTCGAATTGGTTCAAATTACAAATCTAGAATCAAAATTAGATAATTCAAATGGTGCTACAATCATTCCAATGGCGAATTGAAGGAAGAGGGAGAGAGAGAGAGAGAGAGGAAATACTTGAAAGAGATGGTGATGGCGATGGCGATGCAGACACGGAGGAAGACAATGTTGCTTCAACGGCGAGACAGAGAGAGACGGTGTATTTGCCCAATCAATTATTCTTCCACTGAACAATTGAGAAGTTACGTACGAAAATAAACCCTAATAAATTGGGGGCAAAGGAGAGATAGAGAGAGAGGATGAACAGTTTGGGATAAATAAACAATACCTGTGCGAGATGGTGATGGCAGTGATGCTCCAATGGCGATATAGAGAGACGCGATGAACAAGAGAGTGAGAATTGGGAGAGACATCACAGAGAAAGTGGAGAGAATAAAAGAATGTGACTGCGAGAATGATAATAAGGAAAACACTATACAACCCAAATGAATTATCAAATATTTTATTAAATCTCTATGAGATTCATACACATATAATTTGTGTGAGTTCCAAACCTAAGTTTGGTAAAATATTTGATAATTCATTTGAAATCTCTTGCAAAATTCTAATAATAAATTAGGAGTGTGAGCCCACATTGTTGTGATTAAAATATAAATTTTTATTTTGAATTTATAAAATATTTTTTATGTTTGGTGAAAGTATTTTTAATAAATAGTGAAAGATGAGATGTTCACTTTCAATAATAGTATAGGTAAATAAATTATTCTCGAGTCTATTTATTTGGTGAAATTTTAAGTAAAAACGATTATTTAATTAGAAGTTTATAAATTGTTTTAGTATTGAAAAGAAAATCTAATTTATAAGTAGAACATCTAGTTTATTGAAAAAAATAAATGTGGGAGGCAGAAAAATATCCTAGCTATAGGGGTAAAATATCCTAAACAAATATCATCTATCCCTATAAAAGGGGGAGACCCCATACACAAAAGGTATGCCTTTTTCCCGTGCACTTCACACATAACACTCTTTACAATTCTTGATATATATTTTTCATTCATGGATTCCAACTTCATCATCGGAGTGTCTCCGACGGTAACCTTGGTTGGGTGGCATCACCCATATTTATCTCTTACAGGTTCGACTATCTTCATTGAATCTCAACAACAGTCCATGTAAGGGATTATTCTAGGACTCACAATTGGCGCCATCTATGGGAATGACTGAACGAGATCAACGAAGAACATAACAAACATATCATTGTAAGTAAACATGTACTAGTTGAATTGAGGATAGTGCCCTTGCTATAAATTAAAATCAATTCCAAGTAATACGGACCATGGCTGGGTCTCTTATTTTCATTCTGATTCAACTTGATTTGCAATATGCATATCTACGTACATATAATATATATATATATATGTGATGCCAGTTGTGGTGGGTTGTTTTCTGACTATCAATTTTTGCCTGCTACAACCAACAAAAACAAAAACCAAAACAAAGCAGTACTTCTAAATCTACAATTGAGTCTAGATTTTCCCTCTCTAAAAATGGGTTTCACACTTTTCTTTGTGAGAACATCTTTTTTGGCCTTACAAAACGGATTATCCGGCCAAACCCACGCTGGGACTTTATTTATTCAACTATTGCCTCACAAAAGTTGATTCTTGGAATATACGTACATGTGCATGTGCTAACAATTAAAGGGAATTAAAGAATTATGTTGTGGTTCAATAAGCCGAATGACCGACTGCCCCAACTTCAATTGGGCAACTTCAGTTATACAAAGGATCAACAATTGGGTGTTGATCTCCGAACTTCTACCCAACAAATGAGTACATCGGAAGATTTATGGCTATGCACAAGCTTTGTACACAATTTCCTCAGCTTCTCAAATCCTTCATCGCTGACACGAATGGATCGACCAACAATCAATCGCCAAGTTCCAACCCCATCAACAACATAACACTGTGATAGGGGAAAGCATGACAGACTACAACTCTACATTGGGTTTATACTCTCTCTAGAAATCAATAACCATGCCTTGAACCTTCAACGACAATGTCTCCTTTCTAAGAAGATATCCGGCAAGAAAAATAGAACACCAAGGTTATTCGGATCCTCCAGTAATTCATTCTTGTATTCAGTAACTTCGCCGCAAGCTTCGAGCTCAATAGCCCATGCACTGTCATTCAACTGCCGCAAATTGCCAAACTCAGCAAAACCGAATTCATCTTGCCGAGTTGCCAACCAAAGATCAATGCTTATAGCAAATACCATATAGCCAAATTCCTCTTGCTGAGTTATTGAAGATCAATGCTTTCAGTGCCTCGTTTCAGTAAACGAAGTTGGTGCCCAAGTGTTTCGGCACACCGTGAAACTAAGAAAAATCGCCGACTAAGAGTGTAAAATAATCCATATGTGCGGAACTCATTAAACGAAATCGTGAAACGGTCTCGGCAAAGAATAAACCTCATTAAGCACATAAAATCGAAGATCATTCTCGCTATTTCTCATCAAGGTTCTTCGGCAAGATCACCCATGTCACTCGGTGATGTCGTCATTTCGCAAAAAGACTCGTTTTCTAGCGAAGGCATTGGCCACCTTGACCAAGCTCAACAAGGAAAGCTAAAGTTCACCAATGCTAAACCATACCGAGTAGAATGGAGTAGCAACTTTCGCCGAGTACGCATCAAATCCTCATTCTGACCACACCAAGATTCTTCGGCGAGATCACCCATGTCAGTCAGCCATGTTATCATCTCGTAGGAACCATTTTCTAACAATGGCTTTAGCTACCTTGGTCACGCTCGGCAACGGACCATCGGGCCGCAACACTTCCGTTATCGGCAATCACAATGTGTTTACAAAAATCTTTAGCCGCAGCAAGTTTGTCGAGTTACTTACATTGTGCAACCATACCACTAATTACTCTGCAACATTGATGAACTAAACACACACGGAAAAAAAAAAAAAAAAAAAAAGGGTCGACCAATCTTATTTTTGGTCAACTTTCGGAGGTCTAATGGCATTCAGTCCGAGACAGAACGACGCGTCTGAATAGTGGAATGCACACTAGGCCAAGTGATAAATCCAACGCCGCAAAAATGAGGCCAATCGGACTTAAAACGAGAGAGATACAAGGGCTCAAAGTTAGGGGTTTGAATCTAAAAATTCTGAATTTCCCGACCTACGGCATGGAGGAGATGACATTAGGATTTATTGTGCGCTTCTCGACACAAGGTGCCCTGTTGCATCTTAGCATGTTCGGGTTAATCGGGTGGTCCAATAACTTCGGGCATGACTACCCTCAAGGTTTTCGCTGTGTAGAATCCATTTTTGGAGTCCAATTTTGTGAATTTTGAATATCAGATTGGGATCAATAAACTGACAAATCAGGGACGTTAAATGATAGATCAACGGTCAAATCATATCTGATTAGCATGCAATTTTGACAGCAAGCTCCAGGAGCTAAGCCATAATTATCCATCTTCACCGATCATCCATGCCATCTACTATTGTTGTGGACCTGTGTACTTAAATCAAATAAATAGATTCATATGGAACAACCACTTTGAATTTCAAAATAAGAACATACTAAAATTTATAGAAATTCATAATAAAATAAAACTAGTAGTAGGAAGCAAACCGAAGCCTGTGTGATACCACAGTGTCCTTAAAACAGATTAGCCGCCTCACCATGGGTGTTGGAGGTATGTCGATTGCTGTCTCCCAGGATATGACGGTCAAAACCAGCTAATGCAGAAGCACCTTCTGAATAGCTTCGGCGAACTTGATAATGGTTGCACTCTCTCTAACAAGAACCAAAGAAGGGACTAGGAAAAGAAGATAGGAAAATTTTCTTTGGTGTAAAACCATGTCCAACTGTTTATCAAAACACCATCTCTATTTTCCATCAAAAAAAACTCTCAAAACCTATATCTTTCAAGTTGGAGGGGAAAAGCCTCTATTTATACAAGTAGGGAATCCCTACCCATAAAGGCTATACATCAATAGGCTCATCAAATGCCATTAACCATTGCCATCAATTCTAGCCATTAGGGTTGGAGTTACAAAGGTTGAAAACCTATGGCCACTAATATGGTCATCAACTCCATCATCAAAAAATGAGAGTTACAAAGGTCTTAACCTCCCATGTGCTTAATATATACAAATAAATATGTATATAATGATGTTTGAATAAACCAACTAGATGGGTCACATAATGGATACCAATGTTGGGTCACAACCCGATCCAAACACAATTCTCAAACACATGCACAAGCTAAGCCCAACATAACATAACTTAGCTCAAGCTTAATATTAAGACCAAACCCAACACATGCACAAGCACAAGTACAAGTCTAAGCCCAGTCTAAACTAAGACTAAGTCCAAATATAAGCCCAACTTTTATTGATGTCCACTTTATGAGACAATTCTCATTCGCACCTCAATGGTTTTGGCCCATCATTTTTTATATTGTAATCTTATTACTTGAGAGAATGCAAAACTACTCAGACCCATCTCAACCGGCGGTTGGGTCCCACCTTAATTTCGAATTAAAGTTGCTAAAAATCATTATTTTTCAACAATCCCCCACATGAATAAAATTGGCCGAATAAAGAAAATGGACAACGCTTTACAACAAAGACTCAGAGCGAGAGCACACAGAATAATCTTGCATCAGAAAAGGTAGCTGTTGGCCTTGAACCTTTCGTAGTGAAAGCCTATCGGATTTACTGGCTGACCAATGAACGTGATGTCTTGAACTGTTCTGCCGTTTGTGTAAATTTAGACAATAGACCTCACACAGGAGTTACTCCAACCATTATTCTTGTTCTCACTGGTGTGTCTGGTTTGGCCCTGGAACACTAGCCTGGTTCAGTGAGTGTTTTAAAGAATTCAGCCTTGTTAATTCTTAAAGAAGCGGCCCCACTTCTCACTCACATAGATGACCTACATAAGGTATCTCTCTATACCACGGTTGACTATTCACAACACTTAGGTCATTAAAAGCATCAGCTTAACCTCCCACCCCATAGGGTATCACTGTATAAAGGAATAGGCAGGAGGGTTTACCTCCACAGTGACTCATCCGTTACACGCAGTTAGGTTGTCCCTTTGAACCTAGATCTTGGGATCTCCAGTCAACTAGGTTGGGTTTTCCATTCTAGTAACATTACTCAAGGCCTTAACCTCATTCCTCTCGATGACGTTTCTACTAACTCTCGAGTTAACCCTTTGGTTAGCGGATCCGCAATGTTGTCTTTAGACTTTACATAGTCTAGAAAGACAACTCCATTTAGAGAGTAGTTGTCATATGGAATTATGTCTATGACGTTTACGTCTAGAATTCCATTATATATATGACTCTGTGCCCGTCCAATCACCGATTGGCTATCACAATGAATACAGATAGCAGGCACAGGTTCGGCCAACGTAGAATATCCTTAACGAACTGGCGAAGCCATTCGGCTTCTTCAGTTGCTTTATCCAAAGCAATAAACTCAAATTCCATCGTTGATCTCAATATACACATTTGCTTGGAAGATTTCCAAGACACGAGTGCCCTTCTGAGGGTAAACACATAACCACTAGTGGATTTGGAGTCCTTTATATCAGATATCCAATTAGAGTCATTATACCCCTCTAGTACCGCTGGGTATATGGTATAATGTAGTGCATAATCCCGGGTGTAGCGTAGATAACCTAACACCCTCATAATGCCTCTCCAATGAGTGGCGTTTGGATTACTCGTGTATCTACTAAGTCTGCTAATAGAGTAGGCTATAATTGGCCTTGTACAACTCATCAGATACATCAGACTTCCAATGACCCGAGAATATTCTAGCTGAGAGACACTCTCACCAGTATTCTTGGTCAAAAGTAGACTCACCTCTACCGGTGTTCTAGACACACTTGCATCTGGTTTACCAAATTTCTCAAGTCTCTTCTTAACATAGTGGGACTGAGAAAGTACAATACCACTAGATGTTTTGGTAATCTCAATACCTAGAATGACATCTGCAAGGCCCATATCTTTCATGTCAAACTTAAAGTTTCACAACCCCTTGGTAATTTGAATCATCTCATCATTACTACCAATAATGAGTATATCATCTATGTATAGACACAAAATGACATAGCCTCTGTCAGTGTCTTTAACACACACGCACTTGTCACACTCATTGATTCTAAATCCATTTGACAACATAGCGTCTGTCAAACTTCTCATGCCATTGCTTCGGAGCTTGCTAAAAACCATATAATGACTTGACAAGCTTACAGACTTTCTTATTTTCCCTGGAGCTGAAAACTCCTCGGGTTGTTTCATGTAGATTTCTTCATCTAAATCTCCATTTAAGAAAGTTGTCTTTACATTCATCTGATGTATCTCTAGACCACGTAAAGCAGCTATCGCAATCACCATACGAATGGATGTAATCTTTGTCACAGGTGAATGCGCATCAAAGTAATCCAGGCCTTCTCTCTGTCTGTATCCTTTGATAACTAGCCTAGCTTTATATTTATCAATTGACCCATCAGCTTTCATCTTTCTTCTAAAGATCCACTTACTCCCTAAGGCCTTACTGCCTGGGGGTAGATGAACCAACTCCCAAGTATGGTTCTATAAGATGGAGTTAATTTCACTCTTAATAGCTTCTTTCCATAAGGGACTTTTAGGTGAAGTCACGGCTTAATGGAAAGTTCGAGGTTCTCCCTCTAACATATAAGTCAAGAAGTCTGAACCAAAGGACTTTGCGGTCCTAGCCCTTTTACTCTTTCTTGGCTCATCTACTTCCTCATCTTATATCATCGACTTGATCATCTACTTGAGCATCTAAGTGATCATTGTCACCTTCAACCTCTTTGATGGAACTCGAAACCCCTTCTTGGATATGACAACAAAATACATTTTCAAGGAAAAATGCATTTCTTGGTTCCATGATAGTATTCTTGTGTATATCTGGAATAGCAGACTGAACCACAAGAAATCGATATGCACTGCTATATTGTGCACAACCGTTGAATACAAAGTCAACAGATTTTTAGGCTTATTCTAACCCTCTTGGGTTTAGGTATTCCCACCTTTTGCATGACACCCCTACATTTGTAGAATTTATACAAAGGCTTTTGGTCTTTTTCGAAAATTTATACAGGGTCTTTAAACAATTCCTTGTGTCACAATGATTATGAAACTCTCAAAATCATATCACAGTAAATACATTCTCATACTGTCATCAACTAAATTAGGCACCCAAACATATTTGGTCCAACC